TGATCGGATTAGTTGTTACAGTATAACAGTTTCCAATAAAAAATTGACCAAATGTATATAATATTTTTTTTGCTAGCCAGGTGTTATTTTTCATTAAGATACCACATGAATGAATTTTAACATTATTACTTACACTACATTACCCACTGCATGTGCAATGCACGTTCCGTCACTAGTTTAATAAAAAGATGACAGAATTTACTTTTTAAAAGGTCGAAATTTCAAAAACAATTTAATAAAAAGATATATGTTAAAAAGAAGGAATTAATTTTAAATTTACGTGCAAGATTAATTTATTAGAAAAGTATATAACCAATATAGATTTCATTTTCAATAAGTTTATTTGTACAAGGTGATTCACCTTGTACACTGTCTAAATGCAGTAGCAGTGCTGGCAACACTGCTTCTCGATCTTGTACAAGTAGCAGATTTTTTTGATTTTTCAAAACTCTCACAAAAGCACTCTTGTCATTTCAACCCCATAATGCAGCAGTGTGGTATTTTCCACCAATTAAAATGGGACAATTTCACTATTTTCCCCCAATTTATTTCACTAGTAGTAGTTGGTCCCCAACATTTAAAGGAAAAGATAGCTCATGTTCGGCTAACATTTATAAATTATTCATATTTGGTCAAATTATTTTTTATCCATACTTCTTGAAGATTGATAAGTATTACTCACTTATTCACCACTCGAATATATTTATATATAATTTAAATTATTTATAAAACTTCTCCAACACATATTTAATCTCTAATATTTTTATTAGAGTTGGATGAAACTATCCGAATATTCAATAGTTTATCGCGTGGCTACCATGAAAACCAGTGTTAGTAAAACAAGACAAATTAGAATTGGACTCGGGGACAGCGTCAGAAGAAGACAAAGTTGTTATTTATTTATTCATTATTATTATTTGCAACGTGCTCCACCGTAGAAGAAAAAAATTCATAAAAAAAACTTTATTGGCCTTGGGGGTGCGATCTAAGCACTTGATAAGTGTACGTTTGTCAAAAATTGTGTGCTTGTTTGGTTTAGATTTTAAGCTAATTAAAATCAATTGATCGTTATTTCACTATTTTAATCATTATTTTTGAATTTTTCTCTCACAAATAAGACTCACTTCATCTCTAACGATAAAAAAATCAATTCT